TGGTACTGTGAGATGACATTCACACTGCAGTTTGAAAGGCAATGCTGCTGCCCTAGCTCCCTGGGATCTCTTCAGGAAGCTGAAGAAGCCAACCACAGCTGACTGGTGCCCTGAGCCAACATGTTCATCCTGCCCTATTGCAATGGCCCGTGTTTCCAGCTGGACTCCAATACTAGCAAAGTATTTACAGAATAAATCTTGTTTCTTGATATGACTCATGTCCATGTTGGAGAAACTATATACCACTCCAGCCGGACCTCTGAGTGGGATGCAGATTTCCAGTGAGTTAAGTCATGTTCAAGTCAAGCTGTTTACACAGAGTCCAGGGAAGCACTGTAAATGCAATGTAAACCTTCTATATCAAATACTTGAGAGACAAGGAGGCAGAGGGGCTTTTATTCATTATGTTGTATCTTGCTGATCTTAGAAAATAGTGGTGGTACTAATTGATTGAATAATGAAATGCATTCATTTAATGGTGGTGAAATTAAATAATAGCATAAGTGAAGAGAATGTAAAGTGAAAGCAAGCAAAGAATTTGATGCAGTTCCTGCTAATATGCTTCACCATCATTCTGGTTTCAGCCTGCCTTGAAAGAAGACTGACACTACCTCTAAATGTAGGTTGGAGCTGGGATATGATGCAAGCCAGGAACAGGGTGCCCAAAGAGATTTACAGACACAGGAGAGAATATTTTTATCCTGTCTCTATCCATTTGCCATATATATTTTTACCACAGATACTGGTTCAGATGCACATTGCAGTTTGTGACCCACAGCTAAAAGTACAGGTCTGTGAAAAACAAGGCCCAAACATCTGGTTTGAAATGGTTAATTAGAGTTGTAAGTCTCTATCTTATTTGCCAGGATAATCCATAATCAGTCCATATCTGAGTTTGGCTTAAGAACATATTTTATACAAGCCAGGACAGGTAGGAGATCTGCAAGGAGAATGCAGAATATTTTAGTCTGCTTTTACTAGTTTACATTCATCAAAATTCCACAGTAAGTAAAAGCTGTTATTATTTAAATAGGACATTTATATCAGATGCATAATTATTTAAATAATTACATGCAAAGTTATTTAAATAGGAATGTGTAATGAAATCTCATTCTAGTTTCTTATGAGCAGCTATACACACATAAACCAATGTTGTAGCCTTCCCTTCTCTCTTCTGAGCTGCTCATTTTCTTTGGTGGGCAGAGGCTGTGCAACTGCTTTGCCAGGTACTCTTGAAAGGCGTCTTTGCTCCTAACACGCCTTCATTATTATCTCTCTCTGACAGTTTCTAGAAACTACTTTGCCTGTATCTGCTGTGTTGCAAACACACAGCAGAAGATGAGCCCTTGCTGCTGAGGACACAAAAATGGAACTCTCCTATTTGCACTAATAGAAACATCCAAGTCATTAATGCTTTGGGGTGTCCAGCATGATACTCTTGCTTTTGCTTTAACTTATCTTCATCTCCTGTTTTCCTAATACCGTCCTCCCGAGTGGGCATTTGGTACTGTCATCAAATCTTCCTTCATTGGGAATTTAACTTAGCGACCATGTTACCCACCTTGTTTAGGGAGGTGATTCTCCCTCTCTACTCCACTCGTAAGGCCCCACCTGGAGTACTGTATCAGGTTCTGGAGCCCCCAACACAAGGAAGACGTAAACCAGTTAGAACGAGTCCAGAGGAGGCCACGAAGATGATCCGGGGGCTCGAGCATCTCTCCTATGAGGACAGGCTGAGAGAGTTGGGGCTGTTCAGCCTGGAAAAGAGAAGGCTCCAGGGAGATCTTATAGCGGCCTTCCAGTACCTGAAGGGGCTACGAGAAAGCTGGGGAGGAACTTTTTACAAGGGCAGGTAGTGATAGGATGAGGGGTAATGGCTTTAAAATGGAATAGGTTAAGTTTAGATTAGATATTAGGAAGAAATTCTTTACTGTGAGGGTGGTCAGACACTGGAACAGGTTGCCCAAGGAAGTTGTGGATGTCCCCTCCCTGGAAGTGTTCAAGGCCAGGCTGGATGAGGCTTTGAGCAACCTGATCTAGTGGAGGGTGTCCCTGTTCATGGCAGGGGGGTTGGAACTAGATGGTCTTTAAGGTCCCTTCCAACTCTAACCATTCTATGATTCTATGATAAAACATAAATAAGTTATTATTACAAAGTCTTTATGATCCATAAATAAAAAGTACCCTATTTAGGTCAATCTACAGATCTAACAAGTCACAGCAATATTTAAGTGCTGTGTAACTGTTAGCTAATTGCCTTAATGATTATTAGAGAGGAGGACAACTGGTTAAAGCTGGTCTTGCAACCAATAGTATGTGAGAGGGCAGAGCTCAGTGGCAGATCAGGGCCCAGACTGGGACAGATCCAGCATCAACTCTTATTCCTTAACCAGACAAGGATATTAGTGATGTGTGTGTGACACTTACAAGCTCTCTTCCAGATGTCTGTAACCTCATATCTTAATTGAGGCATCATTAACAGAGAAAATACAAAAGAGACATGTTGATTAAGTTTTCTTGGATTGAGTTGCTGCAGTACTATTCGGAAGAATTTCAGTGAGCATCTGTCATGGAGCCCTTGGGTGCAGGATCCTTGGCAAATTCATGGCACCCTTCCAGCAACTGCTGTTGTGAACCTGTGTCTTGGTTATGGCAGATAATACTGCTGGCTGAACCTCACTTTTTCCATGCAACTGCCTTTGATTTTCAGGGGTTTTGGTTCTATTTTGTGTTCAAAGATAATCCTGTAGCATGACTTTTGAAATCATTATTATTCACAGGCATGTGCGAGTCCTACCAGCTCTGTTTATAGCATATTACTTGGGAATCAATATTCTCATAAAAAGTTTTAATCAAAAATGTGTTCAGGAGGCAAACACTCCTCTCAGCCTATTGCCCTTCAATCTGTGAGGAAAGCAATAATGGGGCTACCTTGGATTAACCAGCTGGATACCCAGTAGCAGTGTAGCTGCAGCAGCACAGCTAGGTAATGCTTACCACTACACACTTTATAAACATTTTACTTAATGTATCCATCTATTTAATGTAAAGTTGTATTTTAAGGCATTAGATGGCTTAGCATTGTCCTGGTTCTCCATTGTCTGTTTCTACACAAACTGTGTTTCTGTCTTCTGATAACAGAATTGCACTGACTTGATGTCAGCTCTTCTATCTCAAGCTAGAATTAAAACTGTAATGAATCAATAATTTCAGGCTGGGCATTTCTATCCTCCTATTTAGACTTATTAGTATGATCTTGAGTTCATACTAATGTAACAGCATGGACCAACTGCAAGCTTCCTGTAGAAGACCAAATACATTTAGGCATACGGAGGTTTACCTGGGCTCGAGCCGCGTTTGTATAAAGTAGCAGCTGGTCTGTGCCCCATATGAAGTAATTTGGTTATTTCAATACACTTCCAGCTCAAAAGAGACCTGCGTAATAAAAATCCTGACTGACACCTCCTTCCCATAGCAGGGACCTTAGACACAGAAATCCAGCAGCTCCAAGGAACAGAACTGAATCCAGCCAAGTCAGCTGGGAAACACAGCATGTAAAAGTTTCCATTGGTACTACCATGTATCATTTTCTGTGCATAAATAGGGAAAGAACATCTCAGTCTCCAGGATTGCTAGGTTGCTCATTTCTACAGGTAATAAAATAACTCTAAGAAATGGAACAGAAGAGGATTAATAAAATAAGAAATAAAAAAGTCAATTTTGACATGTAAATTCAGTAGAGCATTTCAATAAAATACTTGCCTTCTGGCTTGATTCTTAGTGTCTAGAAATGGATTGGTTGTGATTAACACTGAGCTGTTTTTATTACCTACCACAGCTTAGAAAGTTCAGGTTCTTTCCTTTTTTTTATGTGAGGAATTGCCATTCACAATTACGCAACAGATTTTCAGAGGCTTTTGCCATGAAAGGGAATTTTGGCAAGCCAAATGACACTATTTCCCCCTGTCTTTCAAACAGCTATTCAGGCACTGCTAAAAGTGTCCTAAAATACTATTAATAGCAGATCCTTACGTTACTGTGATCAAGACTGAGTAACATTTAACTTTTGTCTGTGTTACTGCCAGGATAATGAATTCTTCAGTAGTTTCCTAGCTTATAATATCTCCTCCTCTTCACAAGATCCCAGAGAGGGCAAAATGTTTGCATCATGGTAATAGCGTGCATGGACGCAGGGGCAAGCATAGCTGATGCCGAGTTGAAATTGTACAGCATCCTGCTATACAGCATCAGGGATGTGTTACGTGAGCATTCCCAATGATTTTTGGAGAGGTGCTGGGTAAACAAAACACATCCCTCTCGAAGTTTCCTGCAACGTGAGGTCTGGGAAGAAAAACTTCATCCTCTTCCACCCGAGGTGGCCAGCCAGCATGCATTTAAATGCCATCTTTACCTTGCAGACCTTCAAAAGGTCTGACTCTGGAAAATTAATCCACACCAGAAATCCTCTCAAACTAGTTGTTTTGACAACCTCCTGTGGACTTGCATTCCCCATGTGGAACAAAAAGCATTTATAGAAGCTTTCTTCCTTCTGTTTTTCTTGTTTACTTCAGTGAGCACTCACCAAGTGTCTTGTTCTCACATGGTAATGCAGAATAAAAAACCCTGCACCTAAGCACTTTTCCCTAAAAAATTCCCTACAAATTCTGTTGTCTGCAACTAAATTCCTTTTTAACACTTCTAAACTGCAGACTACAAAATTTAACTTTTAAAAAATCAGCTTCTCATTATCACTAGTAATTTTTCTTGTCCTAGAAGTTTTGCAATCTTTAATCTCTTTCCTGAGCAGAGGTGATGAAAACAGAATTTAAATACAATACGATATTTTTTGCTCCTGAAGAAAAATGTAGGTTTGATTGTAATAAAATTCTCATGATCTGTAATGTATTGTTCCAAATTAACCCATACTTTTCAAAAGACAGTGCAGTACACTGAGAGCATCATCCAGAATAAAGTACATTCACCTTTCAATCTCTCAACAGATCCTCTCCATGGGAATGATGACTGAATACTACCACTACTTTTTTACCACACTGGTAAGGAAGACTAAAGATTTGTGGGTGAATTTTCCCTGTTGCAGGAAAGACAACTACAAATTTCCCCTTTTTCTAGGAGATCTTTCTTGTCATTATTCAAGAAAACCCCTGGAGAATGAGTACTAACACTCCTTAGCAATATCAGGATGCACAACTTTGTAAGAAAGCTGTTTTGCAATATCTGTTGGGCTGGCTAACACTTTAATACAATTAAAAGTAGTTCCAGTATTGTGTTTAAGGAGAAGCCATTGGTACAGGTGGATCAGAGTGAAACAAAATAATGAATGAATGGCTTTGCGATGGAGCTGAGGTCAAGCACTGCAAGTGGTGCCATTCCTTGCTAAAATATTTTCTTTACTTATAAAAACACAAAATCACATATGTATAAAATCACTTGGGAAATTTTATGTTAAAATAAAACTGATTTTTTTTAATGGTAGAAATCTAGAAATACTTATTTCAGCACATTTTTCCTATAAATTTAACTCACTCCATGTTTAAGGTCTGTTTGCAGTGTAGACTACAAAGACAGCAAAGAACCAATATTGCTAGAACAGTCTTAGTGGGCTGGATTATACCATGTGCATCAGTTTATTCTTTATTTCCTTTCCATATAAAATTTTATGTGGAAGTGAAAAATCATTTTGAATCCAATAGTCAATTAATTAGTCAGAAAAGACTCTCTAGCTGTTTGTAACTTGAAGTAGTAGCTTGAAACAGTTCTCTTTGAGGCAATTTTAACATCAAGAAAAAATGAAAATTTAGGATTTACTGTGGAACTTACAGTTTCATACAATAAACAATCGAACATAAAATGCTAACCATCAACAACAATATGCATGAGATCGTATAGAGCACACTAGAACAAGCAGTAAGCAATGCTGGTGGTATCTCAGTCTTGTGGTATTGTAATTGTTGACATTTTGATGGTTAATTTGGTATTAAACCATGACCCACGCATTTGTAATTGTACTGGCTTGTTTTGAAAAACAGCCTTCAGGCTTTGAGAAGCAGTTAACATATTTCCACTGCCCGATAAATACAGCTGTGGAGTGCGCCACACAATTAAATCCCTTAGAAAACCCATTATTTTCCTGCCCTGTAAACGCCAAGCACTGAAGCACATGGACTTAATGTGAACTGACCTGACATGTCTATTAGACCTACTGGCAGCAAGTAACCTTAAAGAGGCAAGGCAGGAGAAAAAATTGGTTCATAAGTAGTAAAAGTATATCACTTTCAACATCTCTTGGAATTTTCCATCCTTGAGTTGAGAAATAAGCTTGACATTGTCCAGCTAATTCCTCATGTTGTTTTGGCAGAGCTGTAACACTGTTAGAGGACTGCTATAAATTAAAATTAGATACTGATGTGCAGGTTGTTTGCAAAATAGTGTTGTTGTGGGGAACTGATTTTTATCTTCCAAAAAGCAGATACGTGGTTTTTCAGAAATTTCACACAGCTTTGGTTTATTCAGATTTAAAACCGAAGAGGTCATGACGAGGCTTTGAGGGCAAGCAGAGCATCCACAGGGGGAAAAAAAAATAAATAAAAAAGCACTTGAACTTTGGATTAAAAATCAAATACAACTTTGGCCTAATTGTACGTTCCAAACATTTTGCTTTAAAAATACTACATCTGGTTTTGTTTGTTTTCTTAATGGTGATTTAGGATCTATTTGCATTAGACCTGGAACCCTACAGGTACAGCGGAGTAAATATGACAGGGTTTCGCCTGCTCAACATTGACAACCCCCAAGTTTCATCAGTCATTGAGAAATGGTCAATGGAGCGTCTGCAGGCACCACCGAAACCAGAGACTGGCCTCCTCGATGGGATGATGACAGTAAGTGAACAACAACAACAATGAAGGGGTGTCTACAGCGCGCTTCGCAATGCTCTTCTAACAGATGTGAACCGATCCCATTACTGCTTTATTTCACAATGCAAATGCCGAAGCAGCATCCCCAAAAAGAATTCCTTTTACCCGCTACTACACAGAAGTGCTTTTGCCCCATCAACCAATGTTGGTACTCATCTGTGTGCAAACCACTCCTGTGCAGCTCTGGAGATGAGTGACAACTCTCCATCATGGTACTGTCCACTAACATAATTTATCCTATTGTTGTCAAATTTATATACTACAGCCTGATTTCTCTAATAATGTTCTGCATGGACTGAAGAAAGTAACAGGAAATAAAAACTTTCAGAACAGGTGTACAGTTTATAACCTGCAGGGAAAGATATTGTACATGTGGACAGGTAATAGCATTTTTAAATTGGAAAAGTACCCTTTCTCTTCATTTCCATTGTCTACGGCAACTCTGGCTTTTAAGATATAATTTAAAGATAAATGAAAGGTATCATCAAGACAGGAAATTAGGATTTCCTCTCTACCATTCCCCCAAGAAGTAAAGGAAAGAATAGAAACAATTACATGGACAGTGTGACTCCATTCAGTTTTGCAGGGTGAAGGTTGCCATCTTTTTGCAATATGAGTGGAGTTCAAAGTGATATGAAATAGACTTTATTGCAGATGATTGCAGGGAAAATTTTGAAGCATCCTAACATCCTGAACAGAAATGCATTATGTGTGCTATCTCTAGCATTTAAAAAAAACATGATGCTTGTTTGGGCAGTGCCATCGCGCTCACTCATACACAAAGCAGGGGAGAAAGCTGTCCCTGGGAACTTCTGATGTGAATACACAAGACTCGCAAGGGTAGTTATTCACACATAGCTATTCACCTGCATTCAGTGAACTGTAAAACTAGGAAAAACAAAGTTCTTACTAGACTTATCCTCTCCTTTGCATCTCCGTAATCTCTTGGTGTCCTTGATGCTCTGAAATAGCATGAGCACTAAAGAAAGCATCTTCCTAGTTGGCTGTGATCATTTAAATATTCATAACAAGTTCTGCTTATTCAGTTTGATGAAGAGCTGTGATACTGCTATATTTCATTAGACAATAGGGCTATAACAAGCTGCAGAGCATAAGGAGACAGGATTACATGTCCTATTGTTAACTCAGGGTTTCTCCCTTCTGGTTCATACTATATTGTTTGCCCTGATGTCACCTTGTAGGAAGTCAGCAGAGCATGACCAAGACAGTTTTGAGTTCATGTCCCACTTTATGCCCAAATTGCACACAGAGGCATAGTTGTCCTAATGGGATCTTTGGGTTTCTCTGCAGTGAGTTTAATAGAATATGAAAATCATAAAAAAAACCAAACAACCCAAGTTTCAGGACAACTCTTAGTCCCTTTCTTCTTATGCACAAGTACAGACATCAATACAAGGCAGACTGCTTCAGAAAATGAGGTGACCTTTTGTTCCTCTATGCAACCTCAAGCCCTAAAACAGAAAAACCATGAGGAGAGAAATAAAAAGCTCAGGGAGGTAATATAACTTCCCAGTTGCTGCATGGCAGGATGGATGAGTAACAAGTCACACAAGCAGGAAATTCAAACAGCCAAGTCTGGCAATGCTGCCAATGTACAAACACTGTGGGCTGCACCATGTTATCAAGTAAAAGCATCAGTGGTCCTAGATAGGAGTGCAAAGTAAGGTATGTTGAAACATTTTCACCAAGTATCTCCAGACACTCTAGGCCTGAGACACAGGCAGACGGCAGCTCCAGTGATCAAGTAAAATTCAATCATCAAGGGACATGCCTCCAGTCTAATGTAAAAATCGATCTGAAGTCCATTGGCATCGATGGGAATCTTTCCATTGATTTTGAGGGATCAGGCCTTTAGTCTTTGGGACCACTTGGAACAACTATCTGTTTAAAGACACTTGACACTGAGAACAGCTATTATGGTCTCCTGCTTACCTCACCATTTGTGATGTTTTCAATTTGCTCTGATTGTGGGAGCATTGTTTTGGGCAGATCCTGACTAGCGTGTCAAGAGCAATTCCTCATTTGCAGTATATTAAGATTAGTTGATAAATTCAGATCACATTTGATTGCCAGCAAAAACCTCCAATGCTGATAAGGCTGATGCTGTTGTAATTTACTTAGGTAAATGAAACAAACAATCAAATCTATTAGTTTCCCAAAGGAATTGTATGAGAAAGGAATAAAAAATAGATTAGCTTTGCAGTTCATATAAACGAGTTCAGTTTCTCATCTGCAGAGTTAGCACTTTTTTTAGGGCTATACTTAATTATTCAGTAGCTTTACAAGAAAAGTAAGCACTTAATTTCTACAGCATCCCTGTGCATTAAGCAAAACATGGCTATTCCCACCTCACACATGAGAACACTGAAGCACAGTGCAAGTGAAGGTGGGGTTTTTTCTAAAACTTCCCAGCAATAATGGATGACAGAGCGTGCGATCTCAGCTTGATGCTTACTGGGCATGCTTTTAAACCAGTAACCATTCACTCACAAAAGACACACTGATGCACAAACAGCATCCACTAATTTTAGTAATATTTAGGTATCCAAGAGCTGTGTTCATCTGTCCTGTCTTAGACAACTAGACGTTAGGTGTGGAATTCCAAATTAAACACCAGAAAAGGCACCTCAAAAGGACAGTTCACCTCTCTCTAAGATGGCATGGGAGGTATGGCAGGGTAACAGCCTTGGTCAGATCTTGTGGGGCCATTTCGCACTTTTGTGCCAAAAACCAAGATCCTTGAAAGCAGTAGATATCTGGTGGGATACTTGCCAGGTGCTTGGTGGGATTGATTTCCCTGGAGAGCAGGGCCTGCCTACTCCTTGGGGAAGAAATCAGTCCCACAACTGCCATGAGAAGAGCAGCGATGGGGAGCTAGTATGATATCCTAGTTTTTAGCTGAGACAGAGCTAGGTCTCTTTTTAGTAGCTAGAGTGCCTCACATGGGCAGCCCTCTCACACTCACCCATGACATGCCACCATGACATGCCAACCTGCAGGCTAGGCAGAGACTGGCTGGAACATCTGCATGATGCTTTCAAATGACACACCTCGAGGTGCTGAGAGTCAGTGGCAAATCCTATGAGGAAACCATAGAAGACTCAGTACTGCAAAGTGCTTGGCCCTAAGTCATGCCTGGGTGATGGGACCTGGGCTTCTTGACACTTCTCTTCATACCACAGAGGTGCCCATGCACTCCTTCCTGCGCTGGACCCATTGACCTCTCTCTTCCTGTAGCGACCTAGTGTGGTTTTCTTCCCAATGTTCACCTGAAAATACTCTGAAATTAATATAAGCTGCAAAAAAATGGCTTTTGTTACACGACAGATTTCCATGGAGAGGCCGGTAGTGGCCTTTTCCATAACTTCAGCCCAGGGAAATGGTTCTCAGTAGAGAAAAGCAGGGATCAGGCACAAAGATGTACATTAAAAAAAGCCTTTCTCTTTTTCCATGCAGACTGAAGCAGCTCTGATGTATGATGCTGTTTACATGGTAGCAGTGGCCTCCCAGCGTGCCTCCCAAATGACTGTCAGCTCCCTGCAGTGCCACAGACACAAGCCGTGGCGTTTTGGACCCAGATTTATGAATCTGATAAAAGAGGCAAGTGTAGACCATCTGCTGATGGTCAGCATAATCCGTCCTTTCTTCTTTACTGCACTAGCTTGGGTTGTTGCTCCCTCATATGCTATGCTCTCGTTTCTGGTGCTCAGATATTCCAATTCTTCCTCACTTTCTTAGCAAAGAAATGCTGATTTACAGATGGAAGGCTGTGGATTGCATTCTGGTGGAGACTTTATCTGATCTTTCAAAAAAAGGAACTGCTAAACCCTAGGTGTGATTAAATCTCAGACTAACACCCCATAAGACCTCACAGGTTATTTGGTCGGTTAGTATTTGTTATGGGTGTTTACAGTTGCTAAAAATATGAGATAACTAGCAACAGCCATTCTAGAAATTGAAAGAAAAGTGAGTCTGTAACTCTGTCCTCGTTTCATCACTTCATTCTGATTGTTTTGCAGATTGTTTGATCAGTAATCAATATCGAGAAAATATTGCAGCTAGTATTTCTAAAGAAGTAAATTGCTTCATGAAGTCATCCACTCTGTCATAAGTATGCATCACTGAGCTATCTTGATCCACAGGTGTTCTAAAAAATACATATTTTAGCTGTAATGTCTTTAGTCTTCCAAAAATTCAGTCTTTATTATGAATTCTAAATGTAAACTTCTCCTTTAGGGAAGCGTATGGAAATGAAAATTGGAAGTTATGTGGAGTTTCCTATATATATTTCATCTTTTCCCCTAGTTCTTGTCAATGACAGTGTGGTACTTATCAAAGCCACATTCGTTAGCACTTGTGTAGGTGGAACAGGACCTGTAGGCTGAGGTGCAAGGTAAGTGGTGGCAGCATATTGGGGCATATACCTGGATCCAGGAATATATTAGGAGCAAACTGAAAGACAGGACTTGTGGTGCTTACAGAACATGTAGAAGAGCTGTCATCGCCTTCTCTAAACCTTTCTAAATATTTTTTTTAGAATTGCCATAGGCAATACATGACACGGTGATTCAGCTACACAGAAAGCTTTGAAAGTTACTGGAACAGTGCTCTCTGCACAGAATGTTGGATGAATTTTAAGGTTTCCTTGTATGTGTCTCTGAAAGTATGAAGGAAAGACAAGAGCTACCCCAGTACTCAGGGATCTGACTTAAAAATTAAGGAAACTTTGAGATGCTTTCCTCACTGCAACACAAGCATGGGAACACCCAGAGGAGACAGTGAAGCAGCATTGGTGAAGGTTATTTCTCTCGCACTAACATTAGTTGCATCTAGCTCCCCCACTGGGGGGGGAGGTGAGAAGACTAGCAGGAACAGTAAAGGACAGGAGAAAATTGTCTCACAAATGTCTGTAATTCTGTAATAAAGATAATTTTTTCCCTCCCTCCCTTCTGATTTGATCTAAGTGGGAACCTTTGCTCTTGTACTTTGTAATCTCAAGATAAATGAGATAGCATAGCTACTCATGCAATTTCTGGTGCATTTTAGGAATAATTACAATGAAATTGGAAGTTAGCAAAAGATTTTGTATCGGTGAATTCACCTGCATAATTCTACAGTGGTGACCTGCTTATTTTGATTGGCGATAAGTATATAGCATGAGGGTCCTGAATCCTAAGCCAGAAGAAGTACTTTGACAAAGAGCACCAGACGTATCTCAGCAGATCCCATTCAAAGCTTAGACATTTATACAGTTCACATTTATCAGGTACAGCTGCCTTCTCTTGCATAGAGTAAGATATGTGAGCTAATTACTGATTACTTTGCAGATAGTGTCTTTCATGGTCAGTAAAACACTGATTTAAATACTGCAAGAATCTTATCTCCCCGTTTCTGTTCTAGCCAAAAAAGATGGTTGTTAAAAGTACAGGATAAGGTTTAATAAGACAATATTACATTTCCCATAATAGCTATAACAGGTGTTGGAAACTAAATAGCAAATACGTTTGGAACTCCCCAGTTCATGTTAGGATCTGTTTTGCTCAACAAGAGTAGATGAGCTGTATAAATTAGGAATCAAGTGAATAGGTGTGGAGAAAAAAAGTCAAGCAGACAGAATGATAGTTTGGGCCCACATAAATAAAATTTATTTTACTATTTTGTGATATGGTAGTACCAGCCTGTGAAGGCATTTTACAGACTAGTCTGAAGACAAATATTCTGTACTGTAGTCTAAATAAACAACTTTCAAAGAGTTTGCCTGCAATGAGCAGGATGACCATGAGCCAGCACTGTGCCCTTGTGGCCAGAAAGGCCAATGGCATCCTGGGGTGCATTAGAAGGGGTGTGGTTAGCAGGTCAAGAGAGAGGTTCTCCTCCCCCTCTACTCTGCCCTGGTGAGGCCACATCTGGAGTATTGTGTCCAGTTCTGGGCCCCACAGTTCAAGAAGAACAGGGAACTGCTTGAGACAGTCCAGCACAGAGCCACCAAGATGATGAAGGTAGTGGAGCATCTCCCTTATGAGGAAAGACTGAGGGAGCTGGGTCTCTTTAGCTTGGAGAAGAGGAGACTGAGGGGTGACCTCATTAATGTTTATAAATATGTGAAGGGTGAATGTCATGAGGATGGAGCCAGGCTCTTTTCAGTGATGCCCAATGATAGATCAAGAGGCAATGGGTGCAAGCTGGAACACAGGAGGTTCCGCTTAAACTTCAGAAGGAACTTCTTTACAGTGAGGGTGGCAGAGCACTGGAACAGGCTGCCCAGGGAGGTTGTGGAGTCTCCTTCTCTGGAGACATTCAAGATCTGCCTGGACACCTTCCTGTGTGATCTCGTCTAGGTTCCTGCTCCGGCAGGGGGATTGGACTAGATGATCTTTTGAGGTCCCTTCCAATCCCTAACATTCTGTGATTCTGTGATTCTGTGAGTCCTGCAGATGCTAGAGCTTAGCAAGTATTTCAATGGCTCTGTGATAGGTTTTTGTGTTTTATTTTAATGGTGATAAGAACTGGAGTAGTCTCATTTGTTTTGTTGGCCAATGCTATAAAATGATAGGCTGATGGTAATAGAAAGGACCTCAGAACCTGCTTGGACGTGAGCAGAGGTTAAGGTGGAAAGCTTCTGACTTGAATAACAGCTGATAGAGTGCTGCTGTCTTCCCTCAGCAGATGGCAAATTAATTTTTTTCAGCCTGTCACTGCCCTGTTGGGAAGTTAAGGCTCAGGCCATACCTGGTCCTCAGGTTAGCTTCTTCCTGAAAGCAACTGGGAAGTGGAGAACCTAGGGCAAAATACTGCCTTTTCAGTTATGCTGGTCTCAATGCATGCATATTGGAGTCAGTTTCTGAATTTTCAGAGTATGTGAAAACAAAAGATGGCTAGTTTAATGTGAAAATACTCTTTTCTTGGCCTCAGGACTTCAAGAAAATGTACCAGGTAACAGCAGTAGCAGATCCACTGCCTATTTTTCTTAATGATTAAGAGCTGAAGTGCTACCAGAGAGACTACAGGAGAAAAGCACCAGCAAACATGCTTGAGGCCACAGAGTTATCAATTACAGCAACAAAAAGAGTAATCTTCTATGCTTTAAAGATCTCAGGAGCTAATGCTGATTGTAGGAAGCATTTAGAAATTTGCAGAGAAAAGCAAGCCTGACTAAAACTCCCAGCACTGAGTACAGCTTTGAGGTCAGAGGGGTCATCAGCTAGTGCCCGCGAAGGAGGATATTACATAAAATACACTGTCTGGGACCAAGACTCTTCTACAATAGCTCAGGAAGATCTTCTTAATGAAAAGTAAATCCTTGTCAGAAGCTTGTCTTTCTCAGTGACCCAATGGTATTGATATCTAAATGATATTTTAATCTTTTAGCCCTTATGGAAGTATTTGCAGGGAGTACATTTTATCCATGCCTAGAATAAAAAAAAAAAGAAGGTCATTCTTTCTCTTCAGAGAGGAAATACGGAGAGAAAGTATGATTTCACTTTTCCTAAAAGAAAAATGTCTGTAAACATGACACAGGTATTTATAACTGAATGATCAAATTCCCTGGTCTTATCCCCTTTAAAGCATGAGATAAGCCTCAAATAATGATTGTTTTTTACTCAATTATCAGTTAAACCAATGTGAGCTCCCTCACTCAAATCCAGTAACAATTAAAAGGACTACTATATAGAGAAATATTGCAGAAGATGGAGATACAGACTTTATCTTTAGTAACCTTATTAAATCCCCTCAAACAGAATCGCAGACACAAGTCTCAAAGATTAAAAGAAATTTGAAGCATTTACTTCTACATTTCAGTTTATGTTGTGTTTCTGACAAGATATGTTTCAGGCATGTCTAGTAAGTAGAGACCAGAAGTAAGAGTAATCCATACAGATTCTGCATTGAGTAATTGAATACAGCCTTCCTTTGGTAGTGTGACATTAAAAGCTCTCGCGGATTCTCTGAGCTGAACCAATTCTTTTTGTAGGCTAATGTAATGACCACAGAAAGCAACAAGATAAGTGGACTTGGTCATACAGGCACTACCATGACTGTAAAATTTACAAGCCTCTGTCTCAACTTATTTGTAATAATTCGTATGAGTTTTAGACTGGAAAGCCAGCCTTGCTCAAATGCCTTCAAGCTCAAGAAACTCTTTCCTTAAAATTTATAAATCCAGCCCTTTGCTACCTGCTTCTTTCTACAGGTAATAAATGGTATGTCTCATAGAATGTCTCTGGCTTGCAATAAAGACAAGGATCAGTAAAATTAAGTCCCTGAAGAAGCCTGCTTAAATCATCACACCATTTTTCATTGTTAAAGACTTAAAATGAGACCTTATTTAGTTTATTTGTGTACAGGAAGAATACTGTAAATGTTGAACACATTCTACAGTTTTTAAAGCATCTTGCATTGTGTGACTCTGGTCTGTGGATGACATTCTTCTTCAAAAATAAAATTAATAATAATTAAAAAAACCTTATCCAGTCCTTCCCTGTACAAGAGGGCAGAAAATGATAGCCTTGCTCTGTAGAGAAAGAAGCCTCTTCATGAGCATAATTAGGAAGACTGGGAAACAGGGAAGCATTATAATTTCCAGCCACCACAAAAAGGGC